ACAAGCCCAATCGTGATTGAGGATGATGCTTCTGAAAATAATGATGATGAAAGGACACCAGATGCATCAAACCGCTCTGCCAATTTACAAGATAATCCGGAGGACATACCTAATGAAAATAGTGGAAATGATTCCCAGGATTCAGCTACGAATGATGGGAATAATAATAATACTGCTCAAAATCGGCCATTGAGACGTTCGCCAAGGCATTCATCAAGACAATCGGCTACCTCTGGAAACAACAACCGTGAGCACAATATCTTGCAGGGCTTATTGCAAGAATTATCTACGCCTGTTAGGGGAGAATCTATCGAAAATAATGAAGTGGCTGAGGATGATTCGGAAGCTTCAATGCCAAAGACTTTAGCCCGCCTGTTTCAAAAAGCTTGTAGAGCAGAGACACGTGCTACGAAAGCAATCCAAGAAGAAATTTCGTGTTGGTATTACTATGGGAAGGCGTATGAAGAGAGGGTTGAGGAGATTAAGAATGCTCGAAGAGGAGTTAGTGATCAATCGGCAAGAAATCAAGTGTACGATGATACAATGGAGCATCTCCCTGGCGGATTTACTAAGGATACTTTGCGTAAAAAAACTCAAAGGGCCGTAAAAATTTTTAAGCTGTTTCGGAAAATTGGAGAAGATAAGATTAAACGGGTTATTTCTTATAGTGCAAATGCCATTTCGAAGCTCACTGCTTCACAGATCCGATCTATCGAACAACATTTTGATCACGTGTGAGACCTGAGGTCCCACCCGTGACTTTCACGTGACTTTAATACTGCGCAATGTATCCGAAAAATTTCTGTATTTACTATCTCACATTATTAATTAATAAAGTATTTTTTTGCCCATATCGGGCCTTTCTCCTTTTTTATTCATGTGTATCTGTATGAGCACTTATCAAATAAAATAAAATAAAATGATACATGCAATCATGAGGGATTCGCAAACTAATTCTTTTTTCTTACTATCCCTTAAACAGTTTGCCAGTAAATTTGGCACCCAATCATCTCGTGATTTATAGAAACTTGCCAGCTCCTGGAACACTCCTAGAACTATCGAGGAACTGGCAGGGAACTAGATGATACATGTGATATGAATACGTCATGCCACAAACTGATTTAACCGAAAGCGTTGGAACCGCGCGATTCCACCCTTTAAACGAGATCTACTCCAATATCTTTTATTAGTTTTATTTTTTACTTAGCCAGCCTTTCCCATCATATATTGTTTTACAAGCGATATTTATTATTACATTTATATCTATTGCATTGTACTTACAAATTATGAAATATAAAATTTACTAAACTATTCGTCAGAACACCTTACGGGTTAAGTATTACATCTTTTGTTTTCTACATAAATCACAGCTATAAAATATGAATGTTTTGCCACTAGCCCTTTCTGCCAACAATTAATGAAAAAAAACTCTAATCCTCTTATCGTGTACTGCCATAGTTAATAGTAACATTGATTACGTTAGCATTTTGCAAAAAAGAAGGAATTGTTGGGGTTACGGGTCTGGAAGTGTTAGCTATTTTGACAGTTGATGAATTTGATGTTGTGAGTGATAGTGATTTAGGGGGGTCCTTGACAGCCTTTTCTAATGGTTGTTGCGCAAAACTTGATTTTCCTTTGGGCCGTTTAGGTGAAATTGAAGAGGATGATGCCTCAGGAGAATTTGCACTACTTGACCTAACATTTTCATTACGCACTTGCTCAAATGGAAGTTCTAGCGAATGGTGATAGATAGAATCGTGTTAATTTACCATTAAGACACTTCACAGAGATAATCACCAACTTATTTTCTACAGAAACATATCTGGTTTTAACTAGAACATTGTTGAGAACTCTTCATAAATTTCTTTGCCAACTAAACTTCTTTTTGTTTCAGTATCTTCTTTATATTTTTCCGTTATCTAAAATAATAATAAGCATTATTGACTGGTCAGGATTAGCAAAGCTAATTAAGCAGGATACTATTTACGTAAAAAGCTTTTGTAAGACCTAAGAATTTTTATGGCAGGCGTTACTAGTGAAGTAATTAGTATTTTCTTGATCATTTATTTTTTCTGCAATCTCGTTTCAAAAGAGATACTTCTTTTTATTTGTAGTAGTGTGATACTCCACATTTCTATTTTTTCGTTCGTCAATGAGGATGCGAAGCTGAGCATCAGAGAACTCTATAGTTGATTATATAGTGAGAAGATTCTCTAGAACTATTATATTATATAAAAAATATTGAGTAATGTGTTAGGATCATTGCGAGGCAAATTAATCGATCAATATCAAATAATAACGGTGGCTTAGCTATCATCATCAGGAAAATTTTTCAGGGGATATATGCCGATGAAAAGATCACGTAACATAAATTGATAATAATCACAGATGTCAATTTGTATCGATATGGATAAATAGTAATTAATTATTAACATCTAACCTAAAAGATAAATATTGATAATAATCTTAATAATAAATATCAAAAAATACTTATACAATTAATATCGATAGTAATTTCAATGGTATAATATTGATAATAATTTAAATGATAAATATTAAAACTTAATTTAATCGCAAATATTCATATTTATTTATTAACGTTAGATAATACAATTAATTGTTAGAAAAAACAATTTTATCTAACAATTAAAAGAGACTAAAAACAGCTAGAAACTAAAGATAATCTAAACTTATATTCTTGGCAAGATAATAAGTACTTGAGTATTAAGATAATCAAGCTCTAAAGACAATTTGAAAATCAGAGATAAGTCTAACAGATATCTGTTTCAATCTAAAAATTTAGTAAAGTAATTAATATTAATCATAATTTAACGAATTAATTAACTACTAATAAAAATTGTAAGAAATTAACAAAAAATCAAAATAATTACCATAGAATAATTCATTATAATTTGGTTCATCTTCGCCCTTCTCTTCCTCTTCTTCTTGTTCTTTTTCGATACTTTTTTTCTTACTACCCTTTGCCATAAGTTCTGGCGATTCTTCTTGTAATATTTTTAAAGAATCAACAAGTTCAATAGATCCATTTGTCATAAGAGATTTCTAAATATTAGTTTACTATAGATTAAAATCGATAAATTGCAGTTTGATAAATTAAATCTTTTAATTAACAAGATACTTTGAATCCTTGAAATCGTCGTTCTAGAGGTTTTTT